CTGATTCGAAGGAGAACGTATATTCCCAACTTATTACACCATTAATTATCCCTCCATTATATTTTAATAAAATGATAACTCTTTTTATTTTTTTAAAGTTTTGACAAGTTAAAATTTTCTAAACCTAACAAAACAATTTTTCTATTTCTCCTTTCGTCGTATCTATCATTTTATCCATTTCTCTGTTAATACAATTTGCAAATCAAATTTATAGGAGGAAAAAATCTAAATAATACCAAATATTCGAAAAATATTTAAATTTGATTTGCTCAAAAAAACATCATTCTTTTATTTTTAAAAATCTTCTTTTGAAATAAATATATATATCAAAGAAGGAAATATTTTCCACACACACACACACACACATATATATATGTATATAATATTTAGATACCATAATTGTCAGAGAGACACAGAAAGTCACAGGGTGTGCCATCACTTTGTCGCGTAGAAAGCGTGTCATTCCTCACGCCGCGTCGGTTGTCACATAAATCACCAACATCCCGCTTCCTCGTTGTTGGTCACGAGTGAAGCGACGCGTGTTGATTCCACAACCTCGCTGTTAAGCATCCTGAGAGCATACGAGCGTACGGATCGAGCCACGCTTGTTAATGAAACTAAATACGCGACAACGAGAGGAGCGTGTGTGTGTGTGTGTGTGTGTGTGGAACGATCAAATAATCCATTTCTTTCTCTCTCTCTCTCTCTCTCTCTCCTCGGCTGTCCCCGCGACTCCACTTGCCGGAAACACATCTCGAACGAAAGCAACGAAGAAGAAGAAAGGGTCGAGTTGGACTCGCTCCGCTCTTGTTAGCTCGGTCGGTAAAAAGGGGGGATTCTGATCAACGAACCGTGGCGGCCTTAAGGGCCCTTGCTCCCATAGACACGCTTCGTTTCTCGATTGATTCTTTATTTTACAATCGCCGTGACATCGTAAAGGGCAACGTGTTCCTCGAGTGTGCGCACGAAGAACTTGCACCCCTGAACTTGTTCAATCATCGATCCATCGATTACTTGTCGAGAGACGGAGTTTTGCGATTGATCGAGGATTCTTATTATTTTCAAGGTAATTTATTAAATTATTTTTTTTAATCAAGTTTACAAATCGATCGAATGATTTTTATTTCACTATGGCAAGTGACTGACTTGTAAATTTTCTTTATTTGAATATTTTTGTTGTATAAAGAAAGCAGATTCAATGTAACGAATAATTCAAGAGATATAAGATCAGTGGATATATGTGAAGAAAAAAATGATGTCTTTTAGGATCTTGTCTTGTATTACTTTTCATTCTTGTCGAGCATTCTTTGATTCATTCTAGAATGTTTTCCAAGAATTTCGGATCTTTCGAGATTTTTGATAATTTCTTATGAATGAATGAGATTCGAAGCAATTTGAAACGTTTCATATCTCATAAATATAAGAAAATAAAACAAAAAGGATAGGATTTGGATAAAATATATGTTAATAATAAAAATCTATATTCTATTTGTGTTATTATTAATATTATTTGGATTTAAAAATTTATACTAAAACACTTGTTCAAAGTTTAAATTTTCATCAATTCTAATTCAAGATATAAAAAAAATATATATATCATAAATATAAAAAAATAAAACAAAAAGGATAGGATTTGGATAAAATATATGTTAATAATAAAAATCTATATTCTATTTGTGTTATTATTAATATTATTTGGATTTAAAAATTTATACCAAAACACTTGTTCAAAGTTTAAATTTTCATCGATTCTAATTCAAAATATAACAAAAAAAAAAATATATATCACACTTTCTCTTAATAAAAATTCTGATCGAGATAAATATGCCCTTTCATCGAACCTTTTCACATTTGTTTTCGTCCAAACATGTTGTAACATTAACGACATAATCATTCACGGTCAAAGCACTTCAACTGATCCTTATTAAGTTAAATGTCATTAATCTTTGAACAACATTGTGAAAATCAATCGTGAAACCATTTTAAGAGAATAAATTCATCCTTCCTTCCACTTCCGTTTCCCGTTTCTCACGAGTTAGCATAACGATCTATTCGAAATCGGCGATTCTTATCCCGATAATCATCCATTTCCCCGCGTTTCGCTTTATAGAAGGAAGCCATTCTACCGAGCCTTCCGGTTCCGGATTTGGAATCAACCTTGCAGAAATACTTGGCCCAGGTCGAGGTAATCGCACCCAATCATTTGCCCAAGACCAGAAGTCTGGTGAAAGCCTTCCTTTCTGGACCTGGGCCGAAGCTCCAGCAACGACTCTTGGAACGCCGACAAAAGACGACCAATTGGGTGAGTGAATTCTCCATTTTCTTTTCACCAATTTTTTCAATTGATTTTTTTTATTGAAATTCGTTGATTTTTTTTATGTAATAATAGATCTGTTTTATACCTATAGTTACATTTATAATGATTATATAACGATTAGTTTAAGTTTAATTTTTTTAGAGAAATTGGAAAATTAATTATTAATAGAATTGGTAATAAAAAATTTATAATTTATAATTATATATATGTATATTTAAGATATGATCAACGATAATTTAATAAAAATGTTCTTTGTTAAAGTAAAATCGAATCGAAGTTTAATACTCGATTAATATTATTCAATCAATTAATTAAATTGTAATTAATTTTATTTAATTTGAATATATTACTTAAATTACAGTATTTTATATAAAGTTTATACATGAGTGGCTAAAAACATACGACAAAAGAAAATTACAATAGCTATATATAATATCCTGCAAGTAAAAAAAATTAATATTTTCAAGACGTAATAAATCTGTGTATTGCTACATTACATCATTACATCATTAATCAAAATAGTTGATAGATAGGTAAATAAAAGATCTATTGTATCTATTAAGTAATTTGATTTATTAGAAATTATAGGATATTAAATTTTAATTAAGATGAATGAATTTAAGTATTAAAATATAAAATGGATATCTTAATAATCTTGGTATCATAATTTTAAACATTTTAATATTAAATTATTTATTTATTTATCTATTTATTTTGCATGAAAAGAATATCGATTTTTTATTATATCCTTTCTTAGTGATACTCAGTGGATATATTTTATAATTGTGAATATATAAATTAGGAGTAGTCAGGTAGTCTGTCATTTTCAAAAACCTTTAAACGAGAAATTTATGTAAGCTGTCTCATTAAATATTCAGAAAGTAAAAGGTTTTTCAGTACGAAACGCGAAAGCCAAACGATAACGAGAAAGAAAACTTCTTGAATGTAACGTCATTTCCGTTTATAGTATAGTAGTTAGTCTCGTGAGAATACGCTTCGTTTCCCCAATTTGGACTCGCAGAATTGGACATTTGAATGATCGAATAATTGAATACTTTAATATTAATATTTTATTTATTCGAAAATTTATTTATTCTTTATTTCTGGATCGAATAATAAATCAAATTTGGAGTTATTATTTTTAAAATAAAGATAATTAGTTTTGAATTTATTTTTTAATATAAATATAATTAACATGTATAAATATAATTAACATTATATCACGTATATTAACATGTTAATTTTCGTGGAAATTTTTTCTTAATTTAAATTTTATATTATTTTTATATTGCGTAAAATTATTATAATCAAAGTGTTTCTTTCCTAAATTAAAATAACGAACGTATCTTTTAATCTAACAATATTTTTTTTTATTTCATATTAATAGAAATATAGTAAATATAATTTATTTATGATGTTAAAGTATAATAATTTCTATTCGAATAGAGAAATAAATTAATATATTATTAATTTCAACTATGTAAATTTTTAACTTTTAACATTTCATTAAAACAAATGGTTTCTCTTGCATTTAACATCAACTCTCAGTTGCTTGAAGCATCGTTACGTTTTCATTATAGCGATTTGATTATACTTAATGCAGAATGAATTGGTCGAGGCAAATAGCATTTCTAGACAATCTTTTGTGAGATATTCTGATCAACATCAGTGATAATTAATCATCGTGTTCGTTTTACAATAACAATTCTCTCATCTCTTATTCTGTTAAACATTGATATGAAACATAAATACTGCAGAGAATAATAATTTATATTGAAATGGAATAATTAAAAATTAGTGTACATTTCAAATTGCCTTTGATAATTTGTTATAAATTTTAATATCCATGAAGCATTTTTTTTATTAAATATTAGTTTATAACCTAATATATGGCAATTTATAGCATTACATATACGGATGAACTATTGATAGGAACTTAATCTATTATGTAAAAATAATCACAAATTGTAGAATCTTTCTGAGAAAATTTAAAAATTCATCGATTACCCGATTCAATTTCTCATAAAATTTTATTCTACAGAATATTAATACATCGTATTTTTGAAAAATACATTCTAAAGGCCAAAACAAACGCGAAAACGTCGATAAACAATCTTTTTTTAAATTACAAAATCCATTATATCGATTATATCACCTACCCCTCTCTATCGACTCCTCATTTGTCCAATCAAAAATTTTGATTCATTCCTTCTCTCCAACTTTTCTCATCAAAAATCACCAACAAATATCACAATTAACCAACACCAATACCAACAACAAAGGCAAAACTAAACATGCAAGGAATTTCTCTGCAACTTTAAGGATGGAACGATCGGTTTTTTCCTTCTCCCGCGTGTGTATAAGTGGCGCAACAGCATTTTCGTTTCAACCCACGTTGCCTCCCGAGAATTTACTTCTTCTGGAATAGGCATCAAGCTATATCCACGCGTTCTCCGTGACTTTTCCGATCTCCCCCATCGGGCGGTCCCAGGGGAATCCACGGGTTCGATGCGTGGCTATAAGCCTCTCCG